ATCAAGAAAACTCAACCATTAAAAAAGTAAAACGAAGGTTAAAAATATACTCAACAGGCTTGGGATTAGAATCTAAATGGATGGTATGTTGATTCCGATAATCCGTTTTGCAGATGACATCGTATTAATAGCAGAAACAAAGTACGACCTTTAGATGCAAACGGTTGTAAAAAATATCAAATGCTTGGAAATTTAAGTAAAATAAAAATTTTAGTTGTACTCGAATACCTAAAATGAACACGGACATCTACTTAGGAAATTAAATTATAGTCCAAGTTTCCAGTTTTAAATACTTGGGCAGCTATTAATATCAGAAGTCGGAAGAAGTACGCAGGTAATTAAATAAAAGAATCGAACAAGCCAAGACCGCTTTTATCAAAAAAAAATTAACTTTTTCATTCCGAAGAAAATTAACAAAGAAATAAAGAACACATTTTTAAAAATGTATGTATGTGGGTGGTGTCACTTTTTATTGCTGCGAGATATGGGTTATTAATGAAAAGGAAAAAAGATCTCATGAAGCTTTCGAAATGTGGTATTGGAGACGAATGAAGAAAATAAGCTGGATGGAAAAAGTGTCAAATGAGGATGTATTGACCCAAGTTGAAGAAAAAAAGATTCATAATGAATATCATAAAGTGAAGACAATGGGACATGATGGGACGCATTCCACGCCATAAAGAATTGTAACACAATTATAATTATAGTAAATAATTTTTTATTTCTATACATACATTTTTATATTTATATATTTAATTACGAGTATTAACCATTTTAATAGTTTTGTTTTTACTTTATTATTTTATTATATTATATAGATGGTGCGTGGGATGGAAACCAACAGAAAGACCAAAATATTCGGACATAGTTCAACTAAAAAAAAGATACAGGGATAAATACTTACGCTGATTTAAAAAGGTTTGTTGTAGATCGTGTTAAATGGGGAATACAGTTAAAAGTTGTAGACCAACCTATTACCGGATAAACGAAAAAAAAAAAAAAAATTCCTCGCTGGGACACCAACACCGTTGGTTTGATCGTTGCAATGATAAGATAATATGATTTGACGAGATAAGAATTATTGAATGTTCTCAAATCAGCTAACGATAACAGGGTATTCGGATACGGCGACGCTGGAACTGCAGTAATTAAGTGAATTTGAATATTATGAGCATGTTGGAAAGAACGTGGCTGGGTTTACTACATGATTGTAATAATATACTGGAGTTTAGTATTATCGAATATCAATATTTGATAAATAATAACACATCGCAAATCTATAGCGCAATCTCCCGCAGAAAAATATTTGCTATTCCAGTAATATTGTAGTATACTTTAATGTACCAATTATATATTTCTAATAAATGTCTAGAATTTCTTGAAAACATTTTCAATATTTTTTTTTTGTAAACGCAATTCGAATGTGTACATTTAACGTTATAATTATATAAGTGGTATTTCAATCTGTTCATTACGTTACCTACCTGTACAAACGAATTTGAAACGTTCCTTGAATTCGGAAATATATTCCATAAAATGTCACAGTATCTATACAATTTATAGATTTGCATTATTATTTTATCAAACAATTTTTCGTTTTACGAAGAAGACGTTTTAAGATTTTCTGCTAATTTTTAAGTTATATAAATATGCAATTTAAATTTTTTTGTTTTTTCAGTTTTAAGCTACTGCTCATAACTTATGATTTTTTTTGTCCGGCGCTGATATTTTACGATTATGGCGGTAAAGTCCGTGGGAATAAAATCGATATTGACCCGTAATGATGAACGTGCAGAATTTTAAATTCGCTATATAATATTATTAGAATACTGCGTTTAAAATCGTTTTCCTGTAAATTTGACCATGTAAATACAATCTTTAATAGAGACGACCTCGCTGGCAATTAATAAATGATGTGGCCAACGGTTGCTGGTATGTATGATGGTATTTCATTTGTATATATTATTATTATTATTTTTGGCGGTTTATGAAAACAGGCCTTGGGCGAATAATAGGTAACAATCGCTCTCTTGCGATTTATTTATTATAGTATGTACTAATTGGTATATTACAGATAGACAGCCAGATGCGTTTGTAAAAACATATTTCGGAGGGGCGGGGTTTTCTTGAGGTTGTACACTTTCATACTCTTATAACAAAAAAAGTTTACATACTTTCAATTGTAGGATTATTTATTTTTCATTTAAAATGTCAATATTTTGTAACATTCATTTTTAGCCTTTTAGTAATATATTATCACTAAATTTTACATTAAACATTTTTCTAGTAAATACAGCCTAAATTATAACGTAATTCATATTATGATAATGATGATATGAACTATGCGATATCGCCGTATCACTCATAATTTTCTAAAAGCAGGAAAACCACAAAACATTAGAAATGACAATAACAATATGTAGTTTGAAAATGAAAATGAAATTTCGGAAAGGGGGGGGGGAGTTGAACCACTAAAACCCCCCTTGTACACGCGTATGTAGACAGCCGTACAGGTAAATGATACAAAAAAAAAAAAAAGATCTGATACTATTTATGGGTTGGAGAGGAGTTAGGACACAAATGTGTATTTAATTTAAATCTGTATGTATTGATAAATTATTTTGAAATATGACGCTGAGCGAGCTTCGATGAACCGTGTTTTGAAATGCTGTAATGTTTACTAATATTGGTTGGTACGAGATATATTCGCTTTGTTCAAACAAAAACGATTGAAAATTGAACACGATGTTCATTATAATTTGTATTTAGTGATATCAAAAAATGAAAAAAAGTTACGGGTAAACGCGTAATGTAGTAGGTTTTTTTTATAACAGTTTTAAAATTAAATTATAACGAAAATCGAAAAAAATTACGGCATTTTAAAACATCGGTTGCTTGCTTTCAGCATTCATATATCAATGAATTATCGTTTATCGTTGCTTACAGATAAAAACTAAATTATTTTATTTATCCTACTTTCCCAACTTTCCACCCGTAATAGTGGCATACCGTCCTCAGTATTAGCTCTTTTTTTTTTTTTGTTTTATAACGTTTCACTTCATATTGATCGGTTGTAACACGCGTGGACGTGAATGTGTGCCCATTAAAAGTTGTTCACATTATAATCATGTCGGCACCTTGAATGGATGTTCGCTCGTAATAGACCATTGTTTTACAAGTCGGAAGATGCCTTATTATAATATCGACAAACACAAAAGACTCAGAGAATAATGGTAACGTACATATAAATTATATTATTTTACGAGCCGATTCGTATATATTATTATCGTACAGTGAGAGAGACCTTCCGGTGGAAAAATTAAATTTGAGAAAAACAAAACACAACGATTATAAAATAATTGTGTGTAAAACACAATTAACGATTAATAATAAACTATTTTATACGGACCGAGTGTTTCCCCTACAAACATCACCGCCGACGCCGTTCAAGGTTCAAACAATCATCGAACAGAGTAAATAAATATGTTTGGAAATAAAACTAATTCAGAGTGATTATTTTACCATCATCGCAATATCATAGTCACGATGACATCACTGTATTATCGAACCGATTACTTATCAGAGTTTTGGAGTAAATTATAATTAGGGTTTTCAGACATTATAATGTTATTGTGGACGTAGAACGTAATATAAGAAAACAGTGTTGGGAAAGTGCCTTTTAAAAAATAATTCGTACCCGTACCTTGTTCCTTTAAACGTTATTTTTTCTTTTCTTTTTCTGTTTCACTCATTTGACCTAGGTATATCGTCCAGAAAGCGTTTATATCGCGGTTATACGAGTACGCAACCGTGGTTTATATTATGTATCTTGTATGTTGTGCAAATGGAATAAGTTTGGATTGCATTATCGTTTATCACAATAATATATTGTGGTATTTTATGAACAACTGATGAAGTGATATGCGTACACTGAATAGACAATATTATCATTAAAACGTTTCAATTTTTTTTAATTTTTTTTTCCATAATTGAAAGAACAGAGATTTGCGTATAAACAGCAACTCTTTTCCGTTCCACGTTCCTACATTTGAAAAGAAACGCGTTTCTTCCGGACACTGTAATTGACAATAAACTGCGAATCCAGTTCGAAAAGATATCTGAAAATATCTGTCTAAACGCGGTATGGTGTTCGGAATAAGGGTAACATAGATAACATTGTTGTTGGGTCAGGTTGACGATTTCTCGACAACGCGCGGCGCGCAGAAAAAAACCAAAAATCGTATACTTACTCGAAATGTTCGTAACGGGCGCGTACGTATTCAGAGATTTTAATTGGAGCGGGGCTGACGGCTTTTCTCCCCGTAAAGCTCCGGAATAGTTTTACTAAAAAACCTGCTCTACTTCCCATAAGTGCTCGGGGGGGGTCGGGGCTGCAGTCTGCTCAGCACACCCGTGTGCGATCAAGTACATTCGAACGATATCTGTAGACAATCATTCTATATAATCGTTTTTAAAAATATGGGAATCGTACCGTTCGCGGCGGTACTATCGCTACGTAAATAACATAAAATTTAGCACGATCTCGTCCGTCCTCGCGTACAAATACGTCTTGTACCTATTGACTGCATCAACGAACGGTTAACTCTGTATTACCGTACGTTATTATCATATTGTTATATTCGTTTTTTCATTATTCCTTTCATTCTTTCTTTCTTTTTTATCCGACGCCGCGAGTCTAAAGAACACATGACTTAGTGGCACGTTTATCTATTGTCGAGCGGGATCAACATATAGTAATATATTACAACTGCTTGTGTTGTTTTCGGCGCTCGTCGTGTTATCAAATCACGCCGTGACCGCCGTGATCCTGGTGTTGGGGTTCGGAAAAATACACTCACACACACATACACACACACACACACACACACACATACACTCACACACACACACATACACTCACACATACACACGCGCGCGCGCGCACACGCACACGCACATATACGTATACACATTTACACGCACTCACGCACACTCGCCATCGAACGTGTCCATATTTTTCGCTGGCTGCAATTAAACACACAGTATAGCGTTCTGTTGCTTCCGAGACGTACCTCAGTTAACTGCCTACAAAAAAAAACCATATAAAAACCGCGCAGTGGTCCGTTCGATTTTCTTATTCTCATAGCATCATTATAACAAATCCGAAATGGCAAGTTTCGCAGTGAAAACCCTCTTCGTCACGGCGCTCGTCTGCCTGGTATTCGACGTGAGTATTTCTCGTATTTCCATCCGTCTTTTTCGATTCTGATACAATAATAATAATAATGTACAAGCACCGTTACGCATATTATTCTACTTATACACGTGTAGGTACCTATAATCGTTTGTTCCGCCGGCGAACGATTAAAACACGCTTTGTATTATACAATTTTTTTTATAAAAACAATAATACACTTAAATTATAATTAATGTGCAATTTATAATAATACTGCACCGTAAACCGCGCAAGTATACCCACATAACACACGCTTAATAGCAATTTTTCCCGATGGGCTTTTTGTATATTGTATACGGTTGAAAACGTTTTTTTTTTTTTTTTTTTTTTATCTTAATATTCCATGTACATAATCCGACCATTATAATACATGTAGGTAGGATATATTATTTATTATTTTTTTTTTTTCTAGAATATTTCCTATCTCGAATAATGATAAATTTACAAATTTATGGCATTATATTTGTGTCCGTTTAACATAAAACGTATAAAATATACAACAACAATGTTATAGAAAAACGTCGTCGCGCTGACACACCCGCGCGATATCGTCTATGCAGTTTTTATGCCGTGCAAAAACGTTTTCCACGAAGACGATCGCATTACGCTATTATTATTATTGTTGTAGTTATTGTGATTTTGCTTTTCGCTTATCGACCGAATAAATTTATTTTCATTTTTTTTTTTTTTTTTTTTATTATTCCCTAGGTATGATATTATGGTCGTAGATTTAAAAAAAAAAAAACTAAAAATATAATTGCACACGTTACAAATTAATAATATATACAAAAGGCTCATTATAATTTATTCTTCTCGCATATTATTCTTACACGTACAAATTTCGCATAATTATAGATTTTACTTTCGGTACGATAAATGCTGAAATTTATCTGTTATACCTGCATTGCTTGCTTCAATATTAACTTTTTTACCGAAATACGGCTGTCGTATAAACACCGATTTAAATGTTATGTTATTTTAAAAAAAGAACGATATACTTTTTTCACTCACTGTTCATTTTCGAACGTAATTTCCACGTTTCTCCAAATATTCATTTTGATAATATTATTTTTAAGTAATAAAGGGAAATGAACAGCGGAGGAATACGGTATTTCATTTGTGGGGGGAAATAGCTACGACCCAATATGCGAGTGCATACACACACACACACACACACACACACACACACACACACACATACATACACGCACGTATTAATATTATCATATTAACTGCACTTTATTGAAAATGTAGCTTTCAAACGCAAAAAAAATGCATACTGTAATATTAAAATAATATACCCAACTACAATATCCATCGCATGTTAATCTAGTTTTCCGATTAATGTTACGAACAATCAGTAAACGGGTAAAAAATAAAGGAAACAAAATCCAAGAAACTATAAAATATAATTGTTTTACATACATCTACTTTCACGAAAGTACCTGTATGGTGAGATACTACGTGTCCTCTAATTAAATTGATACTACAGTATTACACTAACAACGCAATAACATAACACTACAAGACGTATCCAACACTAATAACGTGTTAAGTGTAACAAACACCTGTTAAACATTGTTTTTAATTATTGTCGCGGCAAACGAATTTATAGATTATTGGTATTTCTGTAGGAAATTTATTTAAATATACTTCTCGACCTTGCCATTCGATTTTCCAAAATAGAAAAATATATAATATTTATAATATATATATTTATACATAAATGTTTCAACGAGATATTTCGTGTCATAAATATTTATGACGACTAATTTTACTTTTCCTATTATTCGAAAATTATACAAACCATAAGCGTATAAAGGCGTAGCCTTTTATACAAAACCGTTTATGGACAGCAATCGTAAGTTATTATTGTCGTAGGTTCATCGGTTAACTAGTTTGAGTGTTTTTTTTTTTTCTATTATTCTAATATAAGCTAAATGCATAACGATGTGTGATAAAAAAAAAAAAATTCCTAACAAATAAAACTTTTTAAAGCGTTTAGAATGCCGCACGCTCTTGACTAATAAATGCCTGAATATTATAATATTTTCAATGCTTTAGCTGGATGTAGAACAGTAGAAGAATACAATATGGTCGTAAATTGAAAAAAAAACCGACGAAATAGAGACGTATACATCGAGTCGATAGAATTAAACAGGGTTGTTATTCAACAAATTGTTTTAAACACACGCTGCAATGACTAAAATACTAGATACTTATTAATTTTAACTCTCAATTATCGTTAGCGTACAAAAAAAAAAGGATTATTAGTATTAGGAATACATCGGTTATAAAAACCACGATACTGGTAAATATTACATAAGGGAAAATCTACTATTAACGTCAGAAAAATCGATAAAAAGGACGGACATACTTCGCACGTGAGTGCAACCACTTTTTTAGGTGGGAATTTGGGAAGGTAGGATACAGACGAGAATTTAATGCACAACGATTAACATTATACAACGATCATTGCACGATAAACCATTGCTAACGAAAAACGTATTCTGAGCGGAATCAGTTGATAGTGTTGCTCTGTCAACAATATATATGTCATATTATTATGGTAAAAAAATTAAAACAGTGTGCCTTTCCGTGACAACAATGATTATTTAAAATAATAAAAACTTAATAATAACAAAAAAATAAATAAAAACGGTGGCCAATGACAACCATATTTTTAATCTTTTAATCTTTTTTAACCTTAAGAATCAGGTTTTCTTTATTATCTCGAATACAAATGAGAATTTCAAAAAACTACATCTCTAAAATATCACCTAGAGAACATCTCCTTTCAGAAAAATTTGTTATACTTTATAATCAGAGTATGGTTTCTGAAGAAAAAGTGTTCGCATAGAAAAAAAACAAACATCATTGTAAAACCAATACATTCCTTAGTACACTCAGAGTCTAAAATATGAATAATACAAATTGTTTAAAAATAATGAAAAACGTTTTAAACCTTCAGATTAAAGTAGCGTTTAAACACGACCAAAACAAATCTAATGTTAAAAATATGATTTTTATTTAAGTCGTGGGTTTTCAACGACTTTACTGTAAAACTAAAGCAAACTATAATGTATAATGTATATAGCGTCATTGCGAATCGAATACTAAACGAGTGAATTACCTACAGGAATAAATAAAATAGAAGATAAAACAACACGAGGCAATGGTTATATTATTATACGAAGGTGTATTATTAGGTACATAATATTACTCGTATATTTAAAAATCGTTTCGATATGAGTGTCGGGTCGTCGTAGTTGTCGCATCGGTAAATAATTATCATGTTATATGGACGTTATGAGTACGAGGACGAAGGTTATTGCTGTGTTCGGTCCATAAAGCATAGGTCCGTGATAATTTCGAATTCTCAATCGAGTCTGAATTCGACGGAGAGGGGGGGGATGGTAATCGTCGGTGAAACCGCTAGTAACAATATTGGACTAATTAAAAAAAAAAAAAAAACCACAAAAAATAAATAATAAAACACAGCGTCGAATAAAGAATGTGTCGGGCCGCCGAAATTTAAGATTTCCATAAAATGTATAAAAAATAGACCAAACTAATATAAATTTATTTAAAAACAAATATAATTTTACGGTATAACATGTAGTGTGTGCTGGCCACGGTTGGAGCCAAAACCTGTTTGTTTATTAATTTCGTATAGTTTATTCTCGTGCAATTCGTCGCTAAAAATTATGGAATTTCTGAAATAGATAATGCGGCGATCGTTAATTTTTCGAGGGAAATGATTTGGTTATAGAATGTAATAATGATTGTTATACGTATTAAGTGTACGCCGAAACTTAATATGGTGTGGGATGTTGGCGGGAGTCGTGATTAGAAAAACGTATGTAGGCACGCAAAAACTAAAAAATTTAATAATATTAATAATCATGCACGAATTCCTGTTATTACGAATTTCAAAAGTATACATTGTTACAGTTATTGTTCAGACCTCTAAGTCGGAAATTATTCGAATTACCTAAATTCGTGCAAAAGAAAAACTCGCTCGTATATATTGCCAAAGAGAAATAACTAACCAAACAATGCTATTACCAAATAGATAAGCAATGATTATTAGCTATAATGACAATTTAAAACGATAGCAAATAAATGTTGCATGGTGGTCCGTTAACCGATAGTTTTCAATGAAAAATTAATGCATTTGTACATTGCACAATATTATAATATGTAACATTATACTAGTGATTTTTTTTTTTTTTTTTATTCGACGAAAGCGTTAACAAAATAATATATGAAAAAAAAAAAAAAAACAAAACATAATATAGAATGTCGGAAAGGTAAGCTGTAATTTAATGAATTTAACGCAATGCGATAATACATTACAAAGCACAACGATGCAATTAAACTGGGTGCCTACTATTTCTGTGTAGTGCGCGTATCATCTTAAATGATTAAAATATAACGGAACTTTATAAAAGCATTGAAAACCTCTAATGTACCTATTAAATATAATGCGTGCCTTATCGATTTCAAAAATGATTCCGCGAAACAGGGTTTAAATGATAAAAGTTATGTTTGATCACTACTGTAAAACAAAAGGTAAACGTTAGGTAAGTATTTTGTGGAAATTTCAGGTTTCTACAATTATTGTTCATTTTTAACCGAATTACAACAGAAAAACGAAATCGAAAGTACCTAACGAAACTTTTATTTCTGTAAATTTATCCGCCGTTCGCATTGGCCTTTTTCCGGTTTTCCGAATTATTATGAAAAATACTTGGGAAATCAAAAAATGATTACATAGTTGGATGACTAACAGTGCCACAAAAAAACTGAATGCTCTTTCGTCGTTTTTCGATTGGAGAAAGATTTCTGATAGGAAAGTTATTAACAGACAGGAAAAAAAAAACCACAGATAAAACCAATAAATTGCACGCTGCATTCAGATTATATATATATATATATATAAAAAAAACCCGGCAAAAATGAAAATATTAAACATCCGTACATATAGGTGCCAATCTAATGATACAAATTTATCTGGACGTTCGGTAATTTAAACAACGAGACGAAACATTAAAATAATAAATTTGTCAATCCCATGGGTCCGACGAGGGTCCGAAAATTATCGCTGTATTCACGATTATATATATCCATATAAAAGAGTGGTCCAAAATTTTCGGACATGAATAATACATTAAACCGAACGACATACGGATGCGTCGAGATTTGCAAAATATTAATAATAATAATATACGCGTAGCCGACCGGGATGACATTTGTATAATATCAATCAGATGGTATAAATTCGTTTTGCTGTATAACATTATGAAAATTTGACGTCAATGATGAAAGCGCTGACATTTTCTAAATTCTGACGGTTATAATAAATACCGTCAAATTTATTTCGTGAACAAAATATTCCGCCGTCACATGGAACTAATACATACAGATTTAAATGCCTATCCATAGGCGCATGTAGGTGAAATTTCAGAGAGGGAGAGCAAAATTAAACAAATTCTCAAAGTGTATACCAAACGAAGAATTCATTTTCAATTTATTAATATCATTTTTTGAGGAAATACCCCTGTCTTACCCCCTTCCCCCTATAGACGTTCGCGTACCTACTTAATATTAACCCGTTATATTTGTGTGAGAAAAAAATACGCACCATGGTATTATATTTGCCGGTGAAGTCATCTCGACTCATATTTGCGTATGGTTTCTTGCTGATAAATGAAAAAAATCGCGGAATGGAAAATAATAAGGATATAGTTTATACCGGTTATTTATTTACTCTTCTAGGAATTCAATTTTTTGAATTGTAGAAACAAACAGTTCTAAAAGGTTACGTTTTTGTTATTTTTTGTCGCCCTTATTGTGGGAGAAAACCGACTACCTACTTTTGATTTTAAAATGGATACCTATAGTGAAAATTCCGTAAATATATGAAGTGTATTAGTTTAAATACATTTTGGTTTTGAAATTTCCGACAACCCGTTGACGAGATATTCCAATGGAGATAAGTGAGTAATAGAACATAATTTCGTGTGGCGGCACAGCGTGCGGAGTTTCAATAGTGCTCCACTACTCTCCCCTTAAATATCGTGTTGATGGGTTGACGGCAATCAAAAATGTCAATACTAAAATAACGTGGTTAAAAGAAATAAGGAAAAAAAGTAACTTTGGCAGATAAAAAAAAAAAAAATAGAAGGAGTAATACGATAGGTCAACTATAGTACCGCGATAGTTTGTTGAGGTTGATTATTGAAGGTTATGTGAATGGTAAAAATGGAAAAAGAACACCAAGGATGGAATCTAGTACAAATTACGAAGGACGTGAGAGTGAAAAATTATCGGGATTCGAAGGAGCCGAGTTATGACAGAGAATCACGGAGAGTTGCGGTCAAACGAACGAATACCAAGATGAAGAACAAAATATTGCTTGTTGCTTGGATATCTAAAAAAAAAAAAAAAAATGTTAATACATTTTGAAATAATGTGTGTTTTGTCAAGGATTTTGATCGCCCTGTATAGTGCTGGGATCACTATAAAAATTACAAATTCGATATTATAACCGCGAGTTTTAATGTTTTGATATGACACCAATGTAGTTACGAGTTATAACTGTCGTCTGTTCAAATTTTACCTGTACTTTATGCAATGACGATTGGGCAATGCCGTCCGACATTTTGATATCGTCTTTTAAATAATTTAAAAAAAATCGAAAAGAAGAGCTGTACAAAAAAAGTAATTTCATAATGTTATAATGGATTGATTTCTATGGTTAACACTATCGCGAGGTAACGAGTATTGTAGTATTTTATTATTTTTGAAAAGTTGGAAATGCCAACCATAGGCGTAATTTCGCTAAAATGCAGGGCGTGCAAAACCGACGTTTACGTACCTAAGTAGTAAAGTAACTAATAAAATAAAAAAAAATCCAGAATAAGTGTATTTTGTAATAAATATTAATGTAAACGCTCGTATGCAAAATGGCTCACAAAGACTATATGGCATTATATATGATCATTCGGGAACGCATTCGTACGCACTTAAAATCCATAAAAAGCGCTTAAAAACGTCAAAAATTCCTAAAAAAAAAAAAAAAATCACTTAGAAATATTTAAAAGAGCAATAAAAACTGAGGGGTTTAAAAGTCCCTCAGAGTAGAACCAGTAAAGTTGAGACGAATACCACTCTACCACTCTTGCTTTTCAAAAATTTTGGAGTTCTTCTTTAACGATTCAAGCGCTTTTTGCAGTTTTCAAAGTGCCCATAAATCCGTTCCCTAATGGTTATTGATAGCATAGCAACGATTTTTCGCGATCACGCGTTCGCGCGGTATCACCGTTAATCCGTTTTGCGGTATCACAATCCCCGTTTACGAGCGGCGAACGTCACTTGTGCGAAAAACGATAAGAGACGTTTTCAGAGACGCGGCCCGGTCGCATACGTTAACAAACTGCGCGCTCAAACGAACGCTACCCGACGTGGTTTCGCATAACGAATCCGGGGTTTGTTTCTCGATTAGCGGCAACACAAAATGATAGCGTTGCACTCCGCGAAAATTCAACCCTCGAGCCCCCGCCCCCGTGATTACGGCCCACGACGCCAACAACAATAAACGTCCTGTAACAATCGGCTGTCGAAATTTGTTTTACACGCGCGCGGACGCCGATACGTTTGTTTACCGATTTATCGTGTCGATTTTCGATTGTTGTTATTATGTTAGCACGCGTATTTTTGTGCGCCTCGGAGTGTTGTGTTTCGTGATATTATTGTAACGTAATGCGAAGTACGCGAAACGTTATACGGGATCGCTAAAAGCGCATGTACGCGTAAACGGTTTTTTTTTTTTTTATTTATTATTGTTATTTTTTTTTTTTTTTTATTCTCCGTTATTGTTATTATTGTCGCTCGTTGTATTCTTTGTTTTCGTGTGTCGCGAGCGTAACAAAGAAGAAAAAAAATGTCACGTGGCGGTTTTTTTTTTCTGAGAGGATCCGCGCTGCGACAGTCGATCCGGCGGTATCCGTAGAGTGTGGAAAGTTACTTTTAGTCCTCCGATATGCCGACTACCCCACCGTCCTCCCGTAAAGACCGCGGCACTTCAAAATATTTCATTAGCCACGGTTTATAACTCTACACGTATCCCGAGTTCTCGACTACCGACCTGCGACAATAGCACATCCACCAGCGGTATCGGCACTTTTTTAACTGTATAAATTATTAAATTGGTTACGCTTAATGTGCCCCGCGGATTCCTAAGACCCCGTATTCCTAAATAACTTAATGGCTCAATGGGGATGCGAAAGGAAACGGCGCGCATAAGTATGTTTAAGTGTTTGCGGGCAACTTTGTTAGGGCCATAAAATAATCGTGTGCATCAATATTGAATAGATTCTCTGTAATGATGCGCGTTATTTGCACTCGAGTAGAAGCGCAGAAAAACGGAAACCATTCGCGTCACGTTAACTATAATAATGTAAATCTCGACGAACCGGGCAGTTCGAGTTGACGAATCGCTAAACACAGTAGGTGAAAAAAAAAAATGGCGACAGGAGATGCAGTGTGTCTTTTGGGCGGCGATTCACCGCCCTCCCAGCAAAAAAATCGGAGAAAACGTTACCGGCTCCGTAATTTACGATACAAAAAAAAAAAAAAAAAAATGCGTTATTTAAGTTTATTCTTCTACGCTTTATGAACGCGATGTGAATTGTGTAATTATTTTCGCATTCGAACGTTTCGGACGTCGCCGAACCAGCGGAACCCCCGCCGCTCGACTGGTCACCGCTAACTGTACGCCGTCGTCGACGCTATTAACGCGGCGAAAATTCGTATTAAAAATTCGTATGTACTACACACGTTTATTTTTGTTCGATTTCGTTTTTTTTTTATTAGGTATACATTTAATCGGTCGTTTAGCATTATATCCACGTGATTCTCTCTAGTTTTTGGTCAAGTTTATAACACCGACACGTACAGTCGTATAATAATATAATACATTAACATAATATTTGTATACCTACGATTTTATTATAATCAGACACCGAACTGTATCCATATCGTTTCTTGTGTAGTCAAAAAACATTAAGGACAATATAAAATAATGTTATACCCGCAAACGGCTGTACGCCTAATTGAATTATAATTACTATTTTTAAAATATCGCGATAATGATCGAAACGTACATGCTCGCGCGGCTGCAGTTTCTGATTTTTTAAATATTATGATCACATGTTGAGGTATGCTAATATCCAAAAGACAACAATATGTTGTACGGTCGAGTTACAATTTTATTTTAGGTTTTTTGACGAAATTTGAAAATTCTACAATAATATTAAAAAAAAAAAATTCCTTACTTTTACGATTCCCGTAAAAATTCAAATCTTAGAGCGATTTAATAAAAAAAAAAACTTCTACATAACGCTGAATTTTTTTTTTTCTAATGTCCAAGCGTTTATGTTCGGCCGAAAAATTGTATTCACTCAATACCCAGTTGATCGCTTAAAATATTCAAAAATGTCGAACGTATGTAATCGTTAACGCCGGCTTTCCTACGTTTTCCCAAATCTACTAGAAGAAAATCGAATGTAAAATCTCAAAAAAAAAAAAAACATTTTTAACGCATCGACTAGATCCGAAATCCGTCGATCGAAAGGATTTCCGGTGAGAAATTTGTGAACATACGCACACAGATGATAGGACAGAAAAAAAAAACCGCATATAATACAATAACCAATATAATCCTGGCTCCGCTCAGAATCCTAAAACCAAATCGTGTGAAATGCACACCGCAGCAATATCGGGTGCCCAGCTACGTCTACGCGGTTTGGGCCGTCGAAAACTAAAAACTCGTAATTTTATCAACGCGTTTTTACTCTCTGCTTTTTTGCTTTTAGCCATAACATTGCACGTATAGACACAAGCGCAGTACGAAATTATAATATTTTGTGCAGTGACCGCGACCGCGCGAAAATCCGCTTAACAACGACCGGTCGAAATCTGTCGGTTTGCCGTTTCGTTTCGGATTTAATTTCACACCGCGCGGATATAATGGTTTTTGTTTTTTTTTTTTATCCGAATATTACGATCGCGTGTTACGGTTTTTTAATGGAAAGCGTGTGTTTTCGGTCAGGGGTCTGGGGCGGCTCTTCCCCCCGACAATACCGCAAATCCACCGCGGAACGTTTCCGATTGATTTCCGGACAGGAGCTCGCGCGGTGGGACCGCGATATTGGAAAATATTAATGATCGATGCTCTTGACGACTTCTTTTCCTTATCGCGGAAAACCGTCCGTGCCGGGTTACGGGGGAGGGGGGTGGGGAGACGGTGAGAACCGACCTGGCCCCTAGTAATATTATAGCGCCTACTGCATGACGATAATAATGTGCCATGTTGTGTAATTATATGCCGGGGGTTTTTGTTTTGCACAGTTGGCCGCGTCCGAACACCAGAAGAACGTGCGGGAGGACACTCAGCAGCTAGAGCCGGCCGGTTACGAGACGGCCGGTTACGAGACGGCCGCCGGCCACGAGGACGTCGCGAGCACGACCGCCGCGCCGGGCTCGTTCAAAGACAAACTCAAGGGCATCGTGAAGAACGTGAAAAAGGGCGCGTCGGACGTGTACGAGTCGGTGTCGGGCTCGGTGTCCGGAGCCATCGACAAGATCAAGGGCACGTTCAACCGAGACTCGAGCGCGGAGAAACACTCGTCCGCGGAACGCGACCACCAGCATGCCCCGGACGCCAACTCGTCCGAGGAACGGCACCACCACTGAACGGACGCGGTCGCCGACCGCTCCGGACCGCGACAATATTTATACAACAAAATATATCATTATAAAACTGTAATACGGCGTTCCGTCGCCCCGCGCGACGTCGTTGACGGCAATCACGCGTTGTCGTCCGACGCTAAAAACCGTCACTGTAATCAACGCGCCCGTATCAATGCATACATTATCAATACATTAATACATACATTATTATAAATACATTGTCATTGTTATTTATTTGGATCGTGAAACGCGTTATGCGAACGCCTTTATTACACTCTCCGTCCCCGTGTCTCCCTTCGCGCGCGCCCGTAAAATACGAGTACACGGCGCGTTATTGATGTCGCCGTTTATTATAACTGGAGACCGGATTTGTATGCATTTTAAATTGTGAAACATGCATGCGAACATGCGCTAAAAAAAAAAAAAAAAAGACAAGATATGCAAGAGAAAAAAGCGAAACATGCATAATAAAGTTTAAAATTTTATAATTTATTTAAATTTTGCAGTGATAATTAATTATTAATTTTATTAAAATTTCCATAAACGAAAAAAGTAAACAAGTAAATAATACGTATTGGTATAAAATGGGGAAAAAGGACGACAAATTTAATGTATTAGGCATGTTAATTGGAAAAACAATAAGTTATTAAAGTGTGTCCCATGTTTATTTCTGTAAAATTATGACGACGATCTGTAAGGATGCGCTTGTAACTGCGTTCAACGTCAACACTGGTTATTGGTGCATATTTAAAATTGGCTAATACATCCGGTGAATAATTTGGAACAGACGAATCATTGAAGTTAGCGCTGTCACCTTGAAGTATTTTCGAAATTTCTTTTAAAACCATTAGTCCTTTATTTTTATCGAAAACATTTTTAAATTTTGTTTTAATTATTGTACTATTTTTGCACGTAGGAAGTTCATTGATAGAATTTTCTACTTGTTTTAAAATGTTTTGACGAGTCTACAAGTGCCAAATTAGAATTTGCAAGCTCTTTGATGCTTTTAACGGTACATGGAAAATGTGCTTTAATGTAAGCAATGTTACGATGTAGTTATTGTACCGAAAAATACGGAGATTCAACGACTAAGAACCTTTGGTCCCTCGTTTCATCCCTTATTCTGGGTCGTTGATCGAGATGAAGACTGTATTCTATCTTCTAATAAGTTTGACCAAAACCGCACACGTTGAGCAATATCTTATCAAAATTATTTGATTAGTTTTTGAGTACGTAAATTCGTCATACGCGTGATTTTTATAACATACGTTATATTTTATAATGTATTAATATTTGGATTTTTTTTTCAAATTTTACATATAATTTACTGCGTTTTGTTACGCGCTCGTCGAACGTAAGTATATTTAAATTAAACACTCGATTCGTTTGAGCCCGGGAGATGAAAAAAAGTATATTTTAAGTATGTCATAGTACGCTTTTTAAGTATAATAAAATTGAATTCCTATAATAATCAACATTTAAAAATACCAATTAATTACTCTTCCCTACTCCTTCGATGTAAATTTTAAATTTTCATTTCAACATTCTGGTTTTTCGGCTATTTGTAGGCATTTGGCACTTTTGACAGTTTTTTTTTTTTAGATTTTATTTAGTAGGTAATATATGGATTAAATTGTTTGGCCAAACAGAAATGCTTGTAAATTTAAATCATAAATTATACTTAGTGGTAAACAAATAAGATAAAAAGATCTGATACTGGGGAAGGACTGGTGTGCCACTGTTATGGGCGAGATTTGGGAAGATAGGATACATAATGTTATTTGATGTATACCGGTAAGCAACGATAAACCATTGCTAATGAAAAACGATTCCGAGTGAAGTTCAATCATACATGTTTGAAATGCCGTAATTTGTACGATTTAAGTCAAAAACTGATTACAATTTATAATGAACCTCGTGAGAAATTTCCGACCGTTTCTGTTAAGTCAAACAATTTTATCCATTTAATAGATACTAAATGAAAATTCAAAAATCGCCAGAACGTTTTGAACATTTTAGTACAGGACCGTACCGAGATATTTTCATTCGGGGGGGGCATCATTTTTATTTTATTTGTTCTCTAATAATTATTTAGTTAAATTCATAACCAACATATTACTGTTACTAACACTATAATACAGTCATATAGTTACGCATAATAAACCTTTTATTAAATTCATAGTAAACCTTCCCGGAGGGGTCCGGATCCGCAATTCCTCCCCCTCCTTCTTGGGTACGTCTCTCTTTTACCGCGATTAGAAAAGGCCAGTATGAAACGTATTCTGTGAAAGATGCGTTTCTTTACGATAATAATAATTGGAATTATAATTTATAGCAGAAAACAAAATTGAAAACAATGTAACTATAATAAAGGTAGTTGTTCTTTTATAAAAGTTGCTACTCTTGAAATTTGGAGCAAGACTTTTAGTAGAGAATATAAAACGTCAAAATTTAATATACCGCCGTAATATTTTCCGTTTTTCTTTTACGGCTGTTCCCAATTACTATAATAACTGCGTGGGAAATCGTAAAAAAAAGGATTTACTTACTAATCAATTTTTTCCAAAATTCAACAAAAAAAAAAAAGAAAAAAAAAGTCTCCTTTCAGTTTTCGATTGGAGCAAAATCCCCGGTAATAAAGTCGCTCACAGTCAGTAAGAAAACCGAATTTCTGATTCGCAACAGTGTCACACCCATCCCCAATATCGGGTGTTTGTACATTATTATTATTACATCACATTATAATATGTGCGTAGCTACTATTGCACTTCTTGTTATTATCTAAAAAACAATACATCTATATCATTGTATACTGTGCCCCACGAAAATTCGATAAATGCGATAACATTTGTTGTGGCCAATATTTTTTATTATATATTTTTTTTTTTAATAATCACTAAAGCCTTGCACTAGTATTCTTCTATTATCGAAATTTTGTTTCAAAATATATGTTTATAAAATGCCTGGTTGGGATTTTGTTAAAACGATGTTCTTGAAAATATAAATTTGTATTTTTATTATTATTATTTTTTTTTTTTTGAAATGTATATAATAGAGGAACCATAGCGCAAGGTTATAATAATTGCTAAAAAAAAAATAAATACAAATTGAAAAACATTGAACAGGACACAAGTTTGTTGAATCTTCGTAAGTCACTTTGTATAAAAAACACCAACGCAGAATAAAAATTATTATAACACCTATTATCGCGAGTGAACCCCGACACGACCGACGAGTAGCTGATGGTATTTTATTGTTTGACAAAATTATAATAATAACAACGTCTCAAGGTGCATCGGTATCAGTGATAATATTGTAATATTCAGTCAGATAAGCCCGCGGTACCTGCACGATAACATTCCGAATGTATAATATTACAATATTACAGAGATTCTTCGTATCTAATCTCTCGCTATGGATACCTACCGCAATCTGCATTTGGAAATTTCGGTCGGTCTTGTGATTAGTCTTTGGCCGACATCACATGCTCGCCAGTAGAGTATTAAAACAATGTAGGTGAACAACTATTGTATTTTACAAACGTAAATTGGCCAACGGAAGAGAAAAAAATCATTAAAAAACAAAACAACGACTAAAATGAAATTTTACCCACGACGTCGTGACGCCGCGTTAAGGACGAGCTTCTTATCGGCCGTCCTATTGGTCTCCGTCACGTTACACGTAAGTGCGACAAAAAAAAAAAAAAACTAAGTATTATAATATTCTTATCTTCTTTTTTAACGGGTAACGCCATTTAAAACAGCTCCCCCCTCAACAGTTTTCTGTCCTCCGGTGTCTCAACCGGCTGTACTCCGGGTTTTACCGCCACTCATACGTCCCGAACAACAAAATTCTCCCATTTTAAGTGTGATCTTCTTAGCGTTTCTTGTTGGCTTGCTATCAGTTATACAGTCCTTTTTATTGATCCCTGTTTTTTTCGTTCGTTTCCCGCCTATTTCGTTTTTTCCGCCGAAACGCCTATTGTGAATGTGCCGGAATTCTCGGTTGTGTGTATTGTTCATCATCCCACAGATCAGAAATTTTCTTTCGAAAACTTCCAGTCTAATATCTTCCGGTTTTCTGGGAGATTGTGTTTCTTATACTGCGCCATTGGATGTATCAACATCACGTATAATAGCATGTCTGAACTTTTAAATTTACCGATATAGCTTTTGAGCCGAGCACTTTTCCCAGGCCACGGTAATAGCAGCTATTAAAATTTGTTCGTCCTGGTGACGTGGTTGTCGACGTTGTCACGACTAATATTAATGTTAAGCGTTTAAAGTGGAATATAATTTTAAACGGTTTCCTACTTCCATTATCTCACTTTGTCGGCGATCCACCTCTCTTCTATATCTAGTATCGTATATTATGTTTTATCCAACTGATGTACTTACGGCATTTTAAAATGAAAATACAGTACAACGCATTACTCGTGACATTTTTACGGCGAAAAACAATCAAATAATATCCCAACTTGTTCGTTTTATAACATTACACAGGGCGGTGATTCACTGAACGTGTTCACCCCATTTTTCTTTTTTTTCATTTAGATTTTGCATTCGTTTAAATTCTGATTTTCGGAATTTTTAAGTGTAGTTAAAGCCGATATTTTTGAAGCAAGCTTAGTGAATCATCCTATATAAAATATTATGTATACGATTAAAACGCAGCGTCTGTGCGCCACCTATATCGGGGTGAAGTATGTAAGTTTTTGAACTGGGTACACGATATCGAATTATCGTTACGATTTTTCGTTGAAATGTCTATTTCGGACGGTCGTTAATATATTTTCGAAACGCGCGTGTCTAAGGCGCGACGTTAGACTTCTCTCGAGTTTTCTCGGTCGGTAAAAACGGCTTTTCTTCGCGTCGATTGTCCAATCGTTATGAATCCGTATGCTGTACAGGAATATAATACAAAAAGATATATATAACCCATTGAATATCTCCAGTGATAACGAAGATAATCGAATTCTGTTTTTTTTATATATATATTATTCACACGGATGAGAACTACAAATATTTTTCTATATTTGAATTTTTTTTTTTTATATGAAAAAAAAAAAAAAACTATATTTTATTATTTTCGGAAAATTTTAAGACGGCCGTTCGGCAGAGTTAATTTTCCTGAAAATGTCAACGTATCACAACATTTGCACCTGACGAACAGTTTCTGAGTTATTGACCGTTTTAAACTCTACTAATCCGTGTGAAAACCCGCGTCGTCGCAGAATGGCTATTTTAAAATGTATAGATATCTGTAGTCCCCGTCCGTGCGAGTAATATAGAAAAAAAAAAAAAAAAAAAAAACAGAATTTGACCGTCTCTATTATCTCCGGCGATACGCAAGTGGGGCAGCCTGTACAACAATACGGTTGTTCGCCGATCCGACGGACGACGTTGTAAATGATGTTGTTTGCAGCAAGCGGAGTGTAGACTCCTCGTCCCGGCGGTGTTGCACGACGTGCTACACGAAACCGGGAAGCTCGGAAGACTAACGGTCGAGTCGCTCCTCGGGACGCTGCCGATAATAAACGGCGTTTTGTCGAGAGGCGTTCTGGGACCGGGCGTTCCGACCAGAGCGATCCGGTTCAACAGGTTGACGGCGAAAATCAGACGCAGGAAACTGGCCAAGAAGCTCCGGGCTGCGCTGCGGGCCCGAAAGAATATGACGTTGGCCATGTTACGAAAACTCGGCGTCGCCGCCTAAAGGCCCAAAGTGCGCGTTAAAGTTTCAATGCGCCGCGATATTGCGAGCCCGTTCCGTTCCGGCCGTGATACTCGTGTGCGACGTTTCATTGTTTTCACTGGATTATAATAACGGCGGAACAACGGCCGACAGAAAACCGTTCGCAGTCCATCGGTTTTTACGGTGCTCGTAGAAATTTAAGGCTATTTTTATTATTATTATTATTATTATTTTTTTTTTTTTTTGTGTTTTTCGTTAACGTGGCATTGTAAAATATCGTCTAAGCTATAAGTCTATGTATTTATTATTACGCATCGTTAAAATCGTCCGAACGGTATAAAATTTGAAAAAAAAAAAATTAATAAAAAAAAATTACTCCGTTTAATTATAAATAAAATTTATAACAAAACAAATTAGTTTTTTGTTACCTCCGTTCCTAATCATAATAAATGTTTTTTTTTTTCACTCGCTCATTTTTTTTTTTTTTTTTTTTCTTAATTCGTAATGCGTTTGTTATCAAACATGTTATTGTTATGTCATATCAAAAATACATTTTCGAAATACTTTTTTACGTTTTACGCAGTACGCGTACAGTACGCCTACGGCGGTAAACGTAATGTGATAGATAAATTGTTACAATATTTTGTTAGATAACCTGTGGAAGTCCCGAGGTAGTGTAGTGGTCGGAGAAGTTGAAAATTGGGTAGTTCACGATGTTTACACAATGTTGGAATTCGAACGCGTCACGATGATAAAAACAAAAAAAAACGATAATTTTTTCATTATCATGTTCCGCCGAAGGCGTGGCCGTCGGTCGCCGCGGTCCTTCTGAAACGGGCACAATGTAGGTAGCAAAAACTGTTTGCGCGAAACAAACGCAAAGTTCTTTGAAAATTATACGAAATTTGTAGAGGACAACGCCTCGTTGGCGTTTTTTCGAAGTATTAATTTTGATGTTGTACAAAAAAAAAAACCAGAAGAATATCATAAAACGACTGGGTGTTATCGCGGCCCGGTGCAGGCAGAACCGGCTCAGAATATATCGAGGTATTGTGCAGTCAGCATTTTCGCGGGACCTCAATAAGACTCTGAGAGAGGAGTGTATTATTGATTTTATATAATAATATTTATAACCTAACAAATTTAATTTGCAACTGTGTTCCACCCGTCATCGTGCGAAATATGTCAGTTCGTTTTGGATTCTGAGTGAACCGAGGAATTTATATCGGTTTTACAATGGTGTTTATTTATTTATTTTTTTTTTTTCTGTCTGTGAACAACTTTTCCACCAGAAATTCCAGATGAAGAATCTTTTCTGGAAGGTAATGTTTTTTGGGGTGATAATTTAGGCGGGACATTTTATTTTATTTTTCCAGGGGTTTTCATAATAAACGGCGAAAACCGGGGGAAAAAAGATGAGAAAAACGGAAAAATTTACGAAGCGTATTTTTTTCAAATCATAAATATTCAAATACACATCAAAACACGCATAACCGAACTCCGATCGGAATCGTTTTCCGTTAGCAATGATTAATCGTTGCGTGCATATATATGGATTAAATTTCCCCTCTACCTTTCCAACTTGTCACCTACAACTACAGTGACCCACCAATCATCGCGTGCGAAATGTGTCCGTATTTACATAAAATAATTATTTTATTTACTTGTAATCAAGTAAATATTTTATTATTTTTTTTACTTTTTCAGCTTTAAACACCACGTGCTGGTGAATCTTTACAAAACAAAGATATTCTTCTCAGTCGATTGATTTTAATTCGCGTTTCTAGCTGCGATGGCGAGTAAACGTGAGGGGAGGGGAGGGCGTATAAAAGCGCGGGACTACGTGCAAGTGCACGGTTTCCGCCGCCTTCAAATAAAAAGGTCGACGGGTCAACGGGTCCGCGTGGCGTTTACGATGTGTGTCGCGACCGCGTATCGTTTGAAACGCGAACCATTACAGGCGGACGACCGGTTACCGACCGGCGTTTTCCTTGCGCGTTATTAATCACCGCCACTTGAACGCATTTAACTCGTAATTATTTGACAACGAAAAAAAACATATCCACACGCGGTTTGATTTGTCGCTACAACGAAAACGAACTGACGTCTCCTCAACACCTATATCACACCGTTCGGCGTTAACATCACGATAGCATTGTGAGCGCGCGATGAGTCGAACGTTGCTGGACGGCCGCCATCTAGTCGTTGACGACAATCCCGTATTGTTATTATGTTTTGTCTGTCGGAAACGCGCGTCTGCTCGCGTCGTAATAATGTCCGTCGCAATCGTACGTGACGTACGTGGACAATAACAATAATTACTGTGACATCCGAATCCGCGTCGCACGAAACCTGCGCCGTTATCATCGCGTATTCCCGGTACACACGGTCGTGATATCGGTCGTTATCCGTGGAGACCTCGAACGTGAGAAACCTAACCGTTGACCGGGTTTGCTGGGTCGGTGTTTTTTTTTCTCGTTATTCGAAAAAAAAAAAAAAAAACAACATACCCCGTGCGGCCTCCTAAGCCTCCTGCCCCCTGCCTTGATCCAGCCGGACGCTCGTGTCTCGCAAGCGTTTGATAAGAGGTTAATTAACACTCTGATAATAAAACTAACGGTACAAAATCCAGGTCCCGTGAAACACAAATTCGCCGCGTAACACGCGAGACGCGTGGGTGTCAGTCCTCTTAAAAAAAACGAAATCAAAAAATACCCGTGTGTTTTACGTAAAAATGAAATTCTAACATTTAAATCATGCGATGTTAAGTGTAAATAATGTAAAGTCTTACAGCCGAAAAATAACTGTGACTATAAACTTTTTTTTAGAAATATTACGAAACTAAATATTTAGTTACTTAAGTTCCAGTAATAGTTATTCAAAATCGTGTAAACTAGCTGTTTTCAAGAGAACGTTACGCGTTTATGTCCATGTCTTTGACATATAACAGCCTGGCTATCTGCGCCGTCTATAAACCTGTAAATCGTATCGTTTATAAATTATAATGTACAGTGACATTAACAATTCCGCGACATGATTCAGTTCCGTTATAACGATAACACTGTTGGTCCTAACTCGTTGCCCTATCTCTTTTGCTCGACGTTGGCTGACGCGTTTTTTCTTTTTACGCGCAGTCCGTTGTCCATTAGTTTATAGACCTATGGCGTCGTGATTTTTAATTTTTCAACGAGTTACAAGCATTTTTGAATCGTGAAATTTCACGCGCTCGTCGTAGCTCTTTTAGGACACGATTCGGATAACGTTCTTGTCTTTAAGTCGATGGGCCGATTCACTCTAACATTAAAAGTAACGGCGCTGAATGGTCTTGGCCGAACGAAAATTCGCTATGTCGTGCGGTTGTAAGACGGAGACAGCGTCATCCGGGTTTAAAGTCCTCTTAAGAAGAAAAATATTGTAGGTACTTTGCGTTTAGATAAGCCGTAAATACGTATTAACGGTTATTATTTGATGATAGTTGCATATATTTATTGTTTTTTTTTTTTTTTTTTTATCAAACGAGTATTATTTACTATATTATTATTAACACTATTAATACTATAGTATTATTTATTATACCGTATTATTTGAATTATTGCGTAATTCAATGCAACTAAATGGAAATAATCGATAAAAAGACGTGTTGTTATTGCTAACTACAATGGAATTACAATTAAAAAAACCGGTGATATGGTCTACGAGTGCGCCATCTTATGGCCATTACATTGATTGCATAAAACGGATAGTGATCTGGATGAAATGTTAATGTTACCAGCGTCGGCGTACTCGGGAAATTTCATTGGAAGGGGAAGTAGTAAATAGTAAACGTGAATTATGAAAGAATCGTAAAGTCATCATTGCGCACATATTTAGAATTTAAAATAATGCAGCGTCAACTTTTTTTTTTTTCGGAAAATTTACCTGTACGACTCTCTATTAATACGCCGAATAATACCGATCTAGAACATAATATACGTGGACGTAGTCGTTTGGATGTCAACAATCGGATGGAAAAAAAAAAAGCGAAGAAAAATAAACAAAAATATTACGCATATAAAAACAAAGTGCGAGTACATTGAACGGTCGTGAAACCAATCCGGCACTGTCTGCGTGATGGCGCGCGACGTGTAACAACAAACGACGCGACAACGAAATATTGCAATTGCGTTGTTTTTGTTTTTCGCTCGTAATAATTTCGCTTAATCAACACCGCGCGGGCGTAACACTTTTGGGCGCTATTTTTTTTATTTTTTTTTCGACGTCCAATTTATCAATCTATTAAATCCCCGCGTCCGAGCGTCCGCGTCCCGCGCGTGTCCGCATTCGAATTGGTACGATCTCGCGACGGGCGTACGGCGCGCGCGCGATTGATAGTTCGTCCAAGGTCTTTTTGCTCAGCACAAGGCCTAAATAATGATAAACGCGACTGCCGCGTGCACAAGCACCGCGCACCGACGATCTTTCGTCCGTCAATTGTTTATCAATTCCCGCCGAGGTCGTCTCCATTAACGGACGCGTCCGCGCGGCCAGACCCGCTGGAAAACGTTTCGGTTCAATTACGACGGACGGGATGATCCCGGGCGTTCGTCACTACCGGGACACGGTAAATTCTACGCGGTCCCGCGGTCGTCGCACCGTCGCAAACGCCCCGCCGGACGGCGGAAACTCCAGGCGGTAGGGCACGGGCGCCCGCGCGGGTAGTCGGCACGACGAAAACGCCGGAAAGCGCTCGAAATACATTTGTAAAACGATTGTTTTCGCACGGCTTTTCGTCATTGCGCGTGCGATTCATTTTTTATAGGAAGAAAAAAAAAAAATTGCGCCTACATATCGGACGGAATGAATATCACATACGTTGAAAAACAGAAATTAAATTAGTCCGTTCTTTTTTTTTTTTTCTACACTTTTAAGGCCGACCAAAACGAAAAAATCGAGTATCGGAGGCGTACAGGTATATTTTCGGGAAAATACGTTTCGCAACGCCCGCGGGCCGTCTATCGGGCGTCCAGCGGATGGTTTTCACGTGATTTTTTTTTTTTTTGCATTAGAACAACGCGTCGGCCGCCCCTGCGGACGACGACGACGAATCGCCGGCGCCGGAATCGTTGGCGGCGCCAACGCCGCCGCCGCCGCCGAAGACGCTGATGGACAGGGTGTCGGGCGTGGCGAACAGCGTCAAGGAGCAGGCGGTCGAGACGGTGGACGGGGCCGGGAACGCGGCGATCAGGCTGTCGTCGGCGGGCGGCCTGCAGGAAGGCGGCGCGGGCGGCGCTGCCGGCACCGGCGGCACTCACACGGAGAACCGGTTGATCGGCAATGACGTCATGAACCGGCTGCAGGACACCAAGGGCCGTACGATGGCCGCGGCCAAGAAGGTGGTGGACGAGACCGTGCACAAGCTCATGTCGACCGTTAACGGCATACGACAAACGATCAGCGGCGACGACCAGGACGACGTGGGCGGCGACAAGAGGATCAGCACGGCGCTGGACACGTTGCTCCGGACCGTCGGGTCCGAGGGCCGGGCGGCATTCGACTTCGCGTCCGACGTCGTCAACGAGACGGCCGACCGGGCGAAGGCGGCCGTCGACAAGGCCGAGCGAAACAAACAGCGTCGGCCCGCGTGATGACACGATCGCCGTTTCTGCGAAAACCACCCTATAATTTGTTGTATTTTTTATTATTATTTTTTTTTTTATACATTTTTCAACTTTGCCGTTTTCATTATACAACGTTAGGCTACAATCAACCCACTATCGAAATGTCAAAACTATACTGTAACACGGTTTTACATAATAAAATGCATTCGACTATTATCGCGCAAATACAAAATATCGAAGAAAAATATTTAAAAAAAATTGCATATTATATTGTTCACCATTTGATCCATGAACAAAATACGTATTGTGTACAATATGTTATACGGTGTTATATACCCTGTCAATGAAATTGCCCGATTCGTGAAATTACGTTATGTTTATACTTTTTGTTAATTTTAACATAAGGGTACACTGATAAGAACATTGTCTATAATTTTAAAAATCATCGTAACTTGCTTAAAAATTCAAGTGTCAAGAAAAAACCAACGCATACGTGTATACGTAGACAATGTTCTTACATTTACGTTCGACATTAGACAAATGTATCGTAATGTTAAAATTAACAGCGCAAAATCAACAAAACCTATAAATATAACGTAATTTTATAAATTTCACCGACGGTACACATATATGTTAGATTCCGAGTGAAGCGAGGGATCCATTGGTTCAATTATGGTCGGTATATTTTTTTTTTCTGTTTACGAAAAATGTTTCTCCTAGAAATCTCGATCCAATCAAAACACGATAAAATACCTATTGTGTTGCGTTTAGGTTCTAATCGATATTGAAAGGTCATTTTTTTTTTTTAAGTTCTCGTTAATATTCAACATTACGAGGAAAAGTAATAAAAATAAGGATGCCATTGGCCATCGTTTTTTTTTATTTATTATTATCAAGTTTGTATTATTTTAATATTTTAATTTGTCTTAAACGACCATCTTGTTGTCGTGAAAACGCACATTGTTGAAAAAGCAATACTATTGACCGAGCTCCACTCAGAATCATTTTTCGTTAGAAATGATTAATCTTTACATACAGATAAAAACTGAACTTCCCTCTACATCCCACCTTTCCAACTTTCCACTTAAAACCGCACCCATCCTCAGTATCAATTTTTTTTTTTTAATTCTCCACAGGAAGGGACTGGAACCTTAAAAGACCGTACAAAGAAGGACCGTTTAAAGACCGAAACTTTTTGATAATCACAAGACCGGAATCCTTAATAAAACCTGAAAATCGAAAAGGTTCCGGTCCCTGCAGACACGTGCCATTTACGCATTATTACAGAAGCTTACACCAATACCGTCCGTGTATATAGTGGCGCGATTCGTTGCGTCATCTGAGTTGGCTATCCCGTCCACGAATTTTAAAAATTGTGACTTTTTCTTTTTAAGCTCGGCAAAAAATCGTAATAATACATAAATAATATTCGAACCGTAAACATTAAAAATAATAAATGTTCCGATCTGCGCTAATATTATACACGGCAACAAACGCACACGCCACCAAAACGTAACGGAAATAACAACGACAGCGAGCTTTTTCCGAAAGGAAATCCGACTTGCGTGATACTTTGAGGAGGTATTTTTTTTTTTATTTTGCGCGTGGTCTAGGACAAATGACCCAGTTGACCTGACCTAACCTAACCTAACGACAGTTGACGTTATGTTGATCACCCTGTATGCATAGGGCAACGGGATATTTCGATCCGGAGTACGTTTTCACCGGTTTCGTAATGTTATTACTGCAATGATATTTCCTCCATACGTTATTCGAAACAGGAATAACGCGCTATTTGATACCGGCCAATCGACGAAATCATATTTTTAACCGCGTAATTAAAACCAGTCAACGAGAACAATGTACATTCGGACACAGCGTTGGGACCGTAGAGGCTCCGATATTGTTACGCCACTACCGGCGTAAACGATGGTCGGACCGGATCAAAATGTCTCGAAAAAAAAAAAAAAAAAAAAACACCCCTTGATCAAAATAATTTCACTTTACCATTATGTAGGCGTGATACTGTAAATAGGTGCGTTTATATTTAATTTCAGAGTGTGGCGGGCCAGCAGTTAGAAACGTTTCGGGTTCTTAAACACCAATTGGAAGACATAATAGCGAGGAAGACCAATGTCGCGTTCGACGTTCGTCCCGACGTTCAGGCCATGATCTCGGGCCCGATCGTCGAGTGGAACGCTGAGGCCGTAGCGGCCATCGCGCACGGTACCGAATTGTTAATGGATTCGTTTCGGTTGGCGGCCGAAGATGTTCAAAGTTCCGTCGACGTCGTCAAGTCCGAAATCGAGAACGACAAGAAGACCAAAAAAACCGTGTGATATGATAAATCGGGATAATCACGGTACACGTATTATTATTAGACATTCGAATTGTTTGCAATGTGTTTTAAAAAAAAAAAAGTAACAATTATAAATAAATATTCCGTTTAATAATAATATTATTTAAAAGCGTGTTGTTAAATAGATTTTTCTGTTTTTGTGACGTATGAAAAAAAATATATCAAGCCGTGCTGTTTTACTTGTACAACTGAAACTAGCACGTGTGACGCGGTGAGCGATATTCGGTTTGCGGGCAAATCGTACGTTCCCTAAATCAGTTCACTCGATTCTTGGAGAGCCAACTATTTTATCGCGTTTTGAATAAATCTCAATTATAATATTATCAATTATGTAAATACTGCAGTAGACAACGTATGCTGAATTTGTTTTGATACATAAAAATATAATGTATAATTTTTATAAACTGTTTCGATTTATCGGTTTCGATATCGGTAACGTGGACAGTTCCCCTTTCAAACCTATGCTCGCCACACCATCCACCGGGCACGCCTTAAATAGTTTCCTAATATTCAAACAAGGGGGGAGGGAGAGGGAGTTTTAACAAAACGTATTATTTTCATTCGAAATCGTTAATTGAATCTGTCGTGAGCGGGTTTTTTTTTTAAAGGTAGGAAGGAAGGTTACAACTGCAGGGGAAGGTGGTCATAATTGCACGGAACACAGAGAAAGTCTACTCTTTGGGGTGTGATCATATCTTAGCGCTAGAAACAATGTAGATAAAATAAAATGTTTAAATATTAAAGGCCATAGAAACCCTGCCCGCATTTGTATGACAATTTGGGCTTCGCATTAATGACATTAAACATTGTATTACATTATAATTTAGAAAATGTAAATTTCACGTTGGAATGAATAGTAATTTATTTTAACTCAATTTTGATTTTCCTAGTTTTGTAGAAAGAGTAATTACACTAATGTTTTCTTACACTACTACACTAGTAAACTGCAACGTCTTGTTGCCCGATGCAGCGATCTAAATTTTTACCACTGAGCAGTATAAATATTTTTGATATTTGTATCTTGTTTATACTGCAGTTATATCGATTTCGCCTGGCTATATCGTTTATCTTAGTATTTTGTCACAGAATTTTTTTCTGAGTAAAAATCGCGCAGTAAACCAAATTTACACCGTGTTCCAAACCAAAAATGCTGCTCAGATAGCGAATATTTACCGCACGGTAAATTTAACCGGAGACATCCCCCCCTCCCCGGGAAAATAACTACCGGGGAATCAATGCTCGCCGGTACGCCGGGTTCATCGATACCCACAATAATAATTTATCTAACTCAGCAAAGTTTTAATTTCAAACATTATGTTTGACGATGTTTTTTATAGACGCTCATAATACGCATATTATCAAGAGACTTACGTGCAATCTTTAGACGATAATAATATTTCATACCTACGTTGCAATTACTGTAATATATCGAAAATAATGTAATCATTTCGCAAACGGAAATGCGTTAAATGACGTGTAAAATAAACAATATTATGCTTTTGAGTTAATTATTAAGAAATCGCGAAATAATTGACGCAATTATACATTTATAAACATATTTATCGTATAAGCGCTTGCGGGTTTCAATCAACAATGTTCTGATAAAATCCACATCGATTCAATGAGTGTGCCGATTGACGCAAACAATTATCTATATTTAGAAACGTTGACGGTAAATTGGTAAGTATATAGGTACTCGAATACCAGAATATTATACTCTTATGAATAAAAAGAAGACGTACTTCACACGTGGGCGGGACATTGTTGTTGGTGAGAAGTTGAGAATTTATTAGAGGAGAAATTGAATGCGTATATCTGTAACGGTGGACCATTGCTAAACGAAAAAACGATTCTGAGCGGAGTTCGGTTGATAGTGTTGCTTTGTCGACAATATGGCTTTACATAATATACATGTCAAATTATGGTAAAATAATTGCATATGCGTTATATATTTTCTTTAATAATATTTGTTTAATATTGTATACCTATTAAAAAAGGTTTTTCCACGTTTTTCCCCATTTATTGGGAAAACTTCTGGGAAAATTAAAAAAATTACCTCGTTAAATACCTCTCTAGTCAGATTTCCTTTCAGAAAAAATGCTATCATTGTGAATCAAAGCAAAACTGTTGGTAGAAAAATTGTTCACAGGTAAAAGATATAATAATAATAAACATCATTGTAAAACCAATACATTCATTGTTCCACTCAGAATCTAAAATATGTATTATAATATATAATATCTGAATAATGACGGAAAACCTAATAAGTGACGGTTCACATGTTGATGGACAGAGTTTTGAAATTTTTGTGCAAGTAGTAGTTTTTTATAGTTGTTCAAAGCCCAAATTTTGACAAATATTATAAAAAAAATAACACTGCATATCCCGTATTATTTATTGATTTATGTGAACATAATTTGTAATTTTTTATAATAAAATGAAAAATATAAAAATTAGGTCTGTTACAAAAATTACATCGGATTCATCGGACACATCGGAAACACCAGCATTTTAGTGTACCCTTTCTCCCCCCCCCCAAAAAACACATTTTAATCCAGGTCTACATTTGCTTGAAGTACATTTAAAGTTACCATTTGTGCGAAATAACCTGTAGGTATAAATCTATGCTTATACACAAAAAAAACTACAATAAATAATACAATTCGTGTAAACAGATACAATTAATTTAATGGTGTACTTTATCAACACGTGCCTACCTAACGTCAAAAGTATATAATAATTATTTTTTTAAATAAAAAAAAAAAAAACTCTGATAATAATTAAAGAAATGAAAAACGCACGCGACATAAAATGGTTAATAACAATAGAAGACGCTGTGTTGGCGTATATAATGACGAACAAGAAAACGAAAGCTGAAAACCGAATGAAAGCGTCGAAGTCACGGAATGGCATCGCGCGTCGAGTGTCGTTGAGAAAACGAAAATCTCCAGGCGCTGATAATAATATGTACTTAACGAACATGGAATTTTTATTTGCATCGACGCCGTTGTATGCCGGATTATGTTCGCCAAGAATGAATGCCCGCGACACGAAAATGTATAGAACATTGACGTCGAAAAGTGACCAACATTTTTTAATTTTTATAAACGAGCCCAAAAGGTTATTATATACACCTATCCATTATTACATTATTATTATTATTTTTTTTTTAATTCCATTATAATTTCATAAAATAGCCATCAACAGTAGAGCTCTGTCTCTAGAGCCGAAATTCATCCCGACTTGTTGACGTTAAAAAAATAATTTTAGATTCTGCACAGAGCGAATTTTCTAGCGGTTTTACTATGATGTGTTTTTTTTTTTGGTGTATCTTTGGTCTATAAACCACTTTTTATCAGGAACTTTGCTCCAAACGAAAAATGCCTATAGATACCCATTTTGTTGCATTTTCAATCGGTAAATAAGTAATTCGTTTTTTGATTTCCCATCAGTTTTTATTATAATTAAGAAAACCGAAAAGATATATAAAATAAAAATAGAAATATTTACGGCATTATAAATTTTATTATTTTTACTTTTTTCCAATTTTATTTTTTACCTATCAGAAATATAGCTCCAAATTTCAAGAGTAGCATCTTTTCTGAAAAAAAAAAACGGTGTCTAGTTTGTTTGCATAATAATCCCCAAAAAATCCATCTTTGATACTTACACCACGCATATGTAAAACGTAAAACGTTAAAAAGACGAAAAATGAAAACTGATAAAATTACGGTGTTATTATTTCATTATTTTAAATTTTTGCACTTTATGTTTGCTACCATAAATATTTTTCCAAAAAAAAAAAACTACAAGAAATCATTGTAGTTGCATTTGTAATTTAGTTGGTGATTGAAAAATTTTTTTTTCATTTTTCGTTTAGTTGATTTAGTAATTGAGTAAAACAGGACAATTCATTGTAATAATGTTTTAAATTTTTCTAATTTTGTTTTTTTATTGTAATTTGGCTAAAAATATTTCTACAGATTTGAAATTTGGTTAAAAAAATTATTTGCATTTTCTAGACGTCATACAATTTTTCAAAACAATTTGATCCATTTTTGAGTAATTCATAGACATTTTAATTTGGCGAGTTCTTAATGTAATTTTTATTCACTAGATACCTAGTGTGTGAATAAAATTGTTGGACTAAACAGAAATGCTTGCAAGTTTAACAGGAGGTTCATAATATTTCATAAATTGTGGTAAAAAAAAAGTCAACTCTAGTGTAGTAATTTTTATTTTTTTACAAGAATTTAATATTAAATCTTAATATAAAATCGTAAATATTACAGCCTTTCAAAAATGTATAACTGAACACTGATCAGAATCGTTTTTCAATTGCAATGATTCATAATTGAGTATAGATATACATTTAATTCAATTTAATATCCTACTTTTCCAACTTCTCACCTTACAGTGGCCACCCATAGTGGAAAGTAGTCGAAGTATGTCAGTCTTTTTTTTTTTTTGATATATAATAGAAAATATTTTCAAATTATTTGTATTGAACCTAACTTTTATAAGTGATGCTTGTTAATTTGTGAAGAAAAATTCAAAATTACTCATATAGGTGTGTTACCTATGCAATTCTTTTATTTTACAATTTAAGGTTAAATATTATACCACTTGCAAGATTTTAAATCTATTTTTGCCACTCAAAATGTATGAGTAATGTAAAATACTAGTATACCTCAACAGTTTCTAAAACATACCAATAAACTATGGCATGCTCAATCTTGAGCAATTGACTGTTGAATTATTTAGTTGCAAACCGTTGTAGGAACACTAATAAAATACGATCATTATTTATTAATATAGTATTCTTTTATTTTATTTTTATTTTCTTTTTTAGTTTTATTTTTTATTCCAAAAAAATGTCCATAAACAAAATGGTTGTATTTTTTTTTAAATTAATAACAATACACAAAAAAAAAATATATATATAAAGAAAACCTATAACAATACATCATATACCAATACAGTATTAATTGTAATTATAGTAAGGATACAATGTATTGAATAAAGGCGAGTATTTACAAAAAAAAAACAATATGACTCGATTTTGCTTAAAAAGTGCTAACAAAGCTTGGCACAGTTAAAAACTACCTAATATAAGTTACTTAAAAAACTTAACATCGTTACAAAAAAATAAAAATAATAAAACGAAACATCTAAATAC